CACCTGCTGCTGGCGTTCGGCGGGATGGACACGCGCGGGGAGGTGTACGGGGACTGCCTGGTCAGCCTGCTGCAGTGAAGAGCTGGGGCGCCTCCGACGCAGCTTTCCCAGTCCTGGCGGATGCCCTTCACCTCTTTCCAATAAAGAAATTCTTGCCCTTGAGTGGATGGGGCTGTGCCCGCAGACCCCCCCTGCTGTTTGCTGGCTGGTGCCCACAGCAATGCTTCACCTGCCAGGCTGCAGTGGTGCCTGCAAAGGGTTTTGGGGAGCAATGAGTTTTAGCTATTGCTGTTTTCAAAATGAGTGAATGAAAACCAAGACAAGCATCCCCCAGAGCCAGGAGGGTGCAGAGTGCTGTGTGGTTTAAAGGGGGTTTTAGAGCAGGCACCACAGAAGTACCTTCTGTCCTCAGCTCAATTTCTTACCTGCTGGAGTCCAAGATAGGATTTTTTTAAAGAACATTTATGCATTTGCTACTTTTCAGTTATCAGAAAAACCAGTCTGTTACCTCATGGGAGAGAAAGCCCCTGAAACTAGTTTTAGTATTGCAGGAAATTAAATGCAACATGTGAAGGAAAAGTTAATTTCCTGTTGTGGCTCAAAATGCCACAGTGAGGCCACCCCTCAAGCAGTTCCAAACTTCCAGGGCTGCCTGCACCACCCCTTCCCCCCACCTCTGGAATCTCCTGTTCCATCCCAGGAGAGGTAGAACCAGGAGCAGCACCCAGGCTGAGGTCAGGTTCCCAAAGGCTGGTGCTAAGCCATAGCTGCAGAAGCTGTCAGCCAGCCCTGGGACAGTTTTCATGCCTCTCCCTCTCTTCCTTTACCCCCTTCTCCCATGATGGCCGCTCAGGGCTCTCTTCTCTAAGAGAAGCCATCAGGCAACCTCAACCCAGGCCAGGCTGTCTCCACACCAGACTGGGGCAGGCCAGCCTCAGGAGCTGCAGCCCACGCACTAGCAAGAACCAGCTGCTGTAACTAGGTCAGGGAGGACACAAACTGTGAGAAAGCCCAGTGTAAGTAACAAATTTATTGTGGTCACTGCCAGTAGAAAAGCTCTACAGCAAGCTCCCGTGACCGAGCTGTTAAATAGAACGCCTCAAGCTCTGCCCCTGTCGCATTTACAGCCCCCCCCCCCGGACCCCAGTGCCTGCTAAGCCCAAGTAGTAACAGCCACATCGGGCCAGCGTTTCCAGCTCCACTCGCAAGTGAAGGTCCAAAGGTACATTCCAAATGAAGAGTTCAATATTTTAAACAAGAGTTCCTGAGTCCAATATATACACACACCACATTCGGAGATGCCCTATCTACAACTCGTCCTTCTCTGCTGCCTCCTCCTCCCCGGGGGGTGGCCCTGCGCTTCCGTAGAGCTTGCTAACAATGGGCTGAACGACTTCCTCCAGCTCCTTCTTTTTGGCTTTGAAGTCTTCAATGTCTGCATCCTGGTGGCTCTCGAGCCACTCAATCTTTTCCTCTACTGCTTTCTCTATCGTTTCTTTGTCGTCAGAGGAGAGCTTGCCACCCAGCTTCTCCTTGTCCCCGATCTGGTTCTTCAGGGAGTAGGCGTAGCTCTCCAGCTCGTTCCGGGCGTCGATCCGCTCCTTAAGCTTCTTGTCTTCCTCGGCAAACTTCTCAGCATCATTGACCATCCTCTCAATCTCCTCTGGCGTCAGGCGGTTCTGGTCGTTCGTGATGGTGATCTTGTTTTTGTTCCCAGTGCCCTTGTCTTCAGCCGTGACCCGGAGGATTCCGTTCACGTCTATCTCAAAGGTAACCTCGATCTGGGGCACACCACGAGGGGCAGGAGGGATTCCCGTGAGGTCGAACGTTCCCAGGAGGTGGTTGTCCTTGGTGAGGGGACGCTCACCTAGAAGACAAAATGAGAATTGGTTTCTTTCTTTCCTAGCTGTGGCTTGCACTTGGTTAAATTATGAGCTACACACTTGTTAAAGGCAAGGTTTTAATTCCAGCCTGGCATCTGTCTAGACACCAGCATCACCTCTTCAGAACAGAGCCATGGGAAAATATTTGACAAAAATTCTAGTAATGGTTTTTGATGCAGGTCAAGGAGCCTGATGAGCAGCTTCAGAGCCAGGGACATATCCCCCAACATCTGGAAACACCAGCAGCCTTCATGCTCAGACTTGTGCAAGTATGAAAGACAGATCCCCAGTGCCACAAGGCCCACCGAAGGTGACACTTACCTTCATAGACCTTGATCGTCACGGTTGGCTGGTTATCAGAAGCTGTGGAGAAGATCTGGGATTTCTTTGTGGGAACCACAGTATTTCTTGGGATCAGCTTAGTCATTACACCTCCAACCGTCTCGATGCCAAGCGTCAGAGGACAGACATCAAGCAGCACCAAGTCACCTGCAACAGATGAAGGGTGAGACTGAACTTCAACCTGAAACAACATCCCACCACTGCAGACAGGATCCTGAGGCCTCACAGGCACAGAATTTCTTACAGACTGCTGAAGAAGTTCTGACCTGTCAATAGCCACCACCCTCCTGGGGTGACAGTGCAGGTGTCATTACCTGTATCCTGGTCCCCAGAGAGAACCCCAGCCTGGACAGCTGCGCCGTAGGCTACGGCCTCATCCGGGTTAATGCCTCGAGAAGGCTCCTTCCCGTTGAAGAATTCTTTAACCAGTTGCTGTATTTTGGGGATCCGAGTAGAGCCACCGACAAGAACAATCTCATCGATGTCAGACTTCTTCAGGTCAGAATCCTCCAAAACCTTCTGAACAGGCTTCATAGTGGAACGGAACAGGTCCTAGGAATACAGAGGAACCCCAGGGCTGTATAACTGTATTCCCCCATTTCCAGTCTGAGGTAGGCAGCCCTGGCGTACAAAGAACCACCACTGCAGAGGAGGAACATCACCTGGCTGATGACCAGCCTTGAGGAGCCCTCAGCTGTCACCAGCAACCCCAGTGACCCTCACAGGGAGCAGCTGCAGGCTCCCAGTGCAAGCAGGAGTTATTTATACCTCAAAGGGCAGCATCCCCACAGGAAACCCCACACGTCCACAAGCCTCCAGCCCGGAGCTGAGGCTGTGTAACTTTACCTTTCTGAACTTACCATATTCAGCTCCTCGAACTTGGCCCGAGTAAGTGTCTCTGAGAAATCCTCTCCCTCAAAGAAGGATTCAATTTCAATTCTGGCCTGGTGCTGAGATGACAAGGCTCGCTTTGCTTTCTCCACTTCCCGTCTTAACTTCTGCACAGCTCTGTTGTCCTTCCTGACATCTTTTCCAGTTTTCTTCTTGTAGAGTTTGATGAAGTGTTCCATAACACGTTGATCAAAATCTTCTCCACCCAGGTGAGTGTCACCATTAGTAGCCACAACTTCAAAGACTCCGTTGTCAATTGTGAGGAGGGAGACATCGAAAGTTCCTCCACCCAAGTCAAACACGAGGATGTTCTTCTCCCCCTCTCTCTTGTCCAGTCCGTAGGCAATGGCAGCAGCCAGAGTTTGATGAAGTGTTCCATAACACGTTGATCAAAATCTTCTCCACCCAGGTGAGTGTCACCATTAGTAGCCACAACTTCAAAGACTCCGTTGTCAATTGTGAGGAGGGAGACATCGAAAGTTCCTCCACCCAAGTCAAACACGAGGATGTTCTTCTCCCCCTCTCTCTTGTCCAGTCCGTAGGCAATGGCAGCAGCCGACCCACGGTCAGGCAGCAGCTCCACCCGCCCCGCTCCCCGCCGGCGGGACAGCGCCAGGTACTCACGGCTCGTTAATAATCCTCATCACGTTCAGGCCAGCGATGGTGCCAGCGTCCTTCGTGGCCTGCCGCTGGGCGTCGTTGAAGTAGGCTGGCACGGTGACCACGGCGTGTGTGACCTGAGCAAGGAGCCAGATGTACCATTGGTTAAGGCAATGAAAGGAGAACACAGCGAGCTGAGCGGCGGGCATCACAAGCAACCCTTTGTTCCTCAAAGGGAAGTACAGACCCACCACGAGCTGAGCCCATTCCACCGGGCTGCCCAAGGGGGGTCACCCACAGATCCTGCCCGCTCAGCCCTAGTCCCACACAGCTGCAGCTCTGAGTTCTCACTAGCAGCACTCGTGACCTCACCTTCTTCCCCAAGTAAGCCTCTGCTGTTTCCTTCATCTTCGTCAGAACCATCGCAGAAATTTCTTCAGGAGCAAACGTTTTTGTCTGTCCACCTCCAACATCAACTTGAATATGGGGCTTGGCTTTCTTTTCAACAACCTGAGAAGAACAACATATATTGTCCTATTCACCCACTCCTGGAATCACTCCCCTTTGTCTGAGTATTCCTTTCTCTTTGAAGACTACGCAGAGCCTCTCTAGGAGACACAACCTTACTGCTAGCCAGCGCAGGGAACCGCTGCAGCCACATGACTGCCCCACATCCTCCCAGGGCCAGGAGCTGCAACATGGCTCAGAAAGGCACTATGTGATTCAGTAGCCCCTTCTGACCAGCCACGTTGGCCCCCTTCCCACCACCCACCCTTCTGCATTCGGGTCCCACCTTGAAGGGCAGATACTTGATGTCCTGCTGCACAGAAGGGTCGTTCCAGGTGCGGCCGATGAGCCGCTTGGCATCGAACACGGTGTTCTCAGGGTTGGATGTAAGCTGGTTCTTGGCGGCATCCCCGATCAAGCGCTCGCCCTCGGGCGTGAACGCCACGTAGGACGGCGTGATGCGGTTCCCCTGGTCGTTGGCGATGATTTCCACACGGCCGTTCTTGAAGACGCCCACACTGGGGGGGCGGAGGGGGGAGGCAGTGAGCAGTCAGGC